CTCCTTCCCTTCCTTCCTTCCTTCCAAAGGCAGAGTTAGAAAGAGGTCTTCCATCCACTGGTTCTCTCCCCAGATGACTGCAGCCAACACATCTGGGAGTCAGCTTCATCATTTGTGAACTGTTTCTTTTAATTTTGTTAAAGATTTATTTGTTTATTTGAAAGGCAGAGATAGAGAGAGAGCAAGAGAGCGAGCGAGCGTGTGCCCTTCAATCTGCTGGTTCATTCCCCAAATGGCTGCAACAGCTGGAGCTGGGCCAATTCAAAGACAGGATCTAGGAGTTTCTTCCATGTCTTCCATGAGGTAATGGGTCCCAAGGACCTGAGCCATCTTCTGCTGCTTTCCCAGGCTCGGAAGTGGTGCATCTGGGTCTCAACCCAGGACCCAAACGGGATGCTGGCACCACAGGCGGTGGCTTTACCCACTATGCCACAGCGCCAGCCCCGTTTTTTCTTTTTAAAAATTTATATAAAGGGAACAAATTCCATGTATTTCTTTTTTTTTAAGATTTATTTATTTGAGAGGCAGAGTTACAGACATAGAGAGAAAGAGATCTTCTATCTGCTGGTTCACTCTCTAAATGGTCTCAACGTCCGAATCTGAGCCAATCTGAAGCCAGGAGCCAGGAGCTTCCTCTGGGTCTCCCATGCAAGTGCGGGAACCCAAGTACTTGCACCATCTTCTACTGCTTTCCTAGGCCATAACAGAGGGCTGGATTGGAAGTGGAGCAGCTGGTACACAAACTGGCACCCCTATGGGATGGGGGCACTGCAGGCATCGGCTTTACCTGCTATGCCACAGCGCTGGCCTCTCCCATTCTCTCTCTCTCTCTCTCTCTCTCTCTCTCTCTCTCTCTCTCTCTGTGTGTAATATTTGTATGCTTAAATTTCCACATAGCTACAAGTGACCTTTTTTTTTGGTGTAATTTATTGTAGATCCTTTTATTGTGGCTAGTGCTGAATTTTTGTTCTCTGAATGTTTCTTTGGGTCTCAAATTTATCATCTATAAAATAGAAGGTTCACTTAGAAGTCCTCAAGAGTTTTAAAAAACAGTAATAGGGCCAAAATATCCTGAGGGTTTATCGTGTGCTGGCTATTCTGTTCTTTTATTTATGATCTCATTTAGTCCTTCCAGCCATCAGAAGAAACTGAAACAGAAGGTACAGAACCTCGCCCAGGAATCCACAGTTGCAGGCGGCAGAGCTGGTTCTTGAATCTGGTCTGGTTAGAGAGCCACCATCATGGTGTTTGTGTGCACTTGCTGATGTGCTCCAGGACATCCGGCAGGCTTGGTTCGCCCCATTTCACAGAGAGGACCTGGAGGCCCAGGGCCCACGGAGGCGGGCAGCTACAAGACAGCTTTAGGACAGAACCCACATTTCACAGAGAGGACCTGGAGGCCCAGGGCTCACGGAGGTGGGCAGCTACAAGACAGCTTTAGGACAGAACCCACATTTCACAGAGAGGACCTCGAGGCCCCAGGGCCCACAGAGGCGGGCAGCTACAAGACAGCTTTACCCTCAGTTCATGAACGCATGTGAAAGCGATAAGTTTATTTCTGGTAGGTCTCATGATCTTGAAACTGAGTGCCAGTCCCCCCCCGCTCTCTGTGTGTGTGTATGTGTGTGTTTGTGTGTGCGTGTGGACATACATATATTTTTCCTGAGATGCGGCTTCATAGTCTCTTATCAGATTCCCAAATGCACCTGTGACCCCAAAACAAAAGGCACTCAGTTGTTCCTGATGCTTCTGGGACTACGTGGAGAATCTGATTAGAATTATGAGAGTCTTCCCTGCCCAAAACATTACTTTTCATATAATTACTTTGTTCTACAGAATAGGAAATAGAGACACAGACACAGTCGTACATTCAGCATTCCTGTAGTGTTGGTGATGATGGTAGTGACAGCAGTATATCGAAGGCATTGCTCTAAGCACTCTAGATGGATGATTTCATTTAATCCTCACATCAACCCTCTGAAGCAATACAGTAATTAAAATAATTTATTTTATTGAAGAGGAAACCAGGGCATATAGATATTAGAGAACTTGCTCAAATATCACACATCTAAGAATCTGATGTGGTGGTAGCAGAGCCTGGACTCCTTTCTCTGTGAACCCCGAGGCCTGCCTTCAGGATGTCTCACCTACAGACCTTGGTAGCATCTTCACCTTCAGAATCTCGTGGCAGCAAATACGACAGAAGGCCTCATGGTGCTGAAAATGCCCTCCCCTGAAGGTGGTTTGCCAGCCACTGCTTGTGGTGACACTTACACATGAGACATATTTTCTTAACAAATAAGAATCTAATGGATTAGGTATCACCTAATTATCCATTCTGCATTAAGCTGCGCCTCTCCTTGCCTGATGCTGCTGGCATAATTAAACTTAATGTACTTTTAATGATGTCTTCTTAACTCAAGCATGCACATATAATTAGCATCAAATCTGGATGAGCTGCTGCAGGTTTGGGGTCTGTTTTGGACCGTGCCTCCAAAAAACTCAGGTTCAGATAGGAATCCACCATGGACTTCAAGGTTTGCAAATGTTGGTTTGGGGGGCAAAGATGTCTTGAAATGCTGGTCTCCCTAATTTCATGGAATAAAAGACTTTTTGTTCTAGGTTGTCTTTAATTCCAGATATCAGGTAACTGAAACCAGTATGCATTTCAAGTTTTGTTCTGCTTTGGGTCCAAATTCTGTGCTTACTTTTACTCTGTGTGTATAAATCTGCATTTGTGTGTATGTTTACTTCATTCTTCTGTATCTGTCACCTAATTGCCTTCCTCACCCTCTGTGTACTTCTTTTTTTTTTTTTTTTCTTATTTTATTTTGACAGGCAGAGTGGACAGTGAGAGAGAGAGACAGAGAGAAAGGTCTTCCTTTTGCCATTGGTTCACCTTCCAATGGCCGCCGCGGCCGGCACACTGTGGCCGGTGCACCGTGCTGATCCAAAGCCAGGAGCCAGGTGCTTCTCCTGGTCTCCCATGTGGGTGCAGGGCCCAAGGACTTGGGCCATCCTCCACTGCACTCCCTGGCCACAGCAGAGAGCTGGCCTGGAAGAGGGGCAACCGGGACAGAAGCCGGCACCCTGACTGGGACTAGAACCCGGTGTGCTGGCACTGCAGGTGGAGGATTAGCCTATTGAGCCATGGCGCCGGCCTGTGTACTACTTTTTTTAAAAGAAGATTTATTTATTTATGTGAGAAGCAGAGTTACAGAGAGGGAGAGACAGAGTTCTTTTATCAACAGGTTCACTCCCCAAATAGCCACAGTGGCTGGAGCTGGGCCAATCCAGAGCCAAGAGCTTCATCCATGTCTCCCATGCAGGTGCAGGGGCCCAAGCACTTGGGCCATCTTCAGCTGCTTTCCCAGGCCATCAGCAGGTTGCTGGATCAGAACTGGAACATCTGGGAGTTGAACCAGCACCTGTTAAGGGATGCTGGCACCACAGTTGGAGGCTTAACCTTTTACACCACAGTGCCAGCCACTGTGTACTTCTAATTACCCCATAAATTCAGTTTCTCCATGGCTTGGACTTATGATGTCCTTAATCCGATTCTGATGCCTCCTTTCTGCACCTTGCTCAACCAGCAGTTCTGTCATTTTTCCACTTCCCCTATGTTTCATTGTTGAGGGACAATCATGGGTTGCCCAGTCCATGTCTCAGTGTCAGGCCAGAGGAGATAGCCAGCCAGCCTGGGATTTGGCTGTCCTTGGGTTATGTTCAGCTTCTTGGGCTGCAGAGGTTTTAGGAAAGAGTTTTTCATTGTCTAGAGTAATAGAACAGACGATGATTGACACTCCCAGACTGACATTTATTGGAAAGAAAAAGCATAAAAGAGCGAGATCACACAGTAAAACAGAAGGATTCCAAAGAGTGATACAGTGGTATTGGGAGTCAGAAAAGAGAGACATTACTTATGGCTGGGGGGTCATTTATTCGACTTTCATGAAATATAAATAAAAGCTCATTTGAGACTTCCAAGAGGAGACAGAAAAAGTTCTCAGATGCATACATGGGGACTTACATGTATTTCTGAAGTTGTTTTTATTTTGTGACAGAAATTATATTTTGGTAGATAAGCTGGGTCACTTAAATGCATTTATACTATATATATTTAAAGACAATTTAATTATTTCCTACATTATTTGCATTCAGAACTTCCTTAAAAATGCTGTATTAATGACTAATTTTTCATTATCCCTTCTAAAGGAATGCTGGATTTGAATTTGGGATTGTCTAATCACAGTAACAAGTAGTTCAAAACATGGGATAGCTTAACAAAATAGAATTTGATTTCTGGTTCACATAGCAGTTAAGAGAAATTCTATTTGGGGTGGGGGAAGTTGTTGCTTGAAATGTCAGCTGCATGAGATAAAGTGTGGGATTTTTTGTTTGCACGTGGGTCAGGCCTGGAAGTGACGTCTGTGGCATCCCAAATGCTTGCCTAGGTTCTGCTCTTTGGGAACATTAAGAACAAGTCCACTCCTTCCTTTGTCTAGGAACCCTTAGGAGAATGTAGTGGTTTTCTGGTAGTGTACAAAGAAGTCCCCATGATAGGAGGAGAGCTAACCTAGGGTTCTTTTATTTCTGTGGGTCCCTTTTTCCACAGAAAATCTCAAAAAATTATGATTAAGTTAGTATGCAAATAAATATGCTAATATTATGATAGAAATTCATTTTTTACTTTTGATTTTAAAAGAAATGAAAAATACTGCATGGTTTCCTGAAAGCATTGTGAGCCCTGTGATCTCACTGTGCCTAGTGGATAAGTCACCTCTAGGTGGAACTTCCTCACCATTCCTAACAGAGATGTTCAGAATGAAAAATGGGTGTTACTGGAACTGATAAAAGTCAGCATTTCCAAATGAGAAATGAGAAATCTAAGGATGTGTATGTGACTTACAAGGTCATTTGGTTGTTAAATGGAAGGGTCTTTTCACATCCTAAGCCTTTTTCATTCTTCCATTCATTTACACATTCCATGTTTAGTGAGACCTACTCTGTGTTAGTTTCCACATAACATAATATCCCAAACTCTGCTTTATCTTTAAGACACATTCCACAAATATACCAATTTGGACTTAACCTGGACATGGGTTTCTCTACACTCTCCCTGCTCTAGAGTTAGAGTGAAAATTAGAATGAAAATTCTGTTACATCACTTCCTGTTCCCAGTGCCCTCTTGAGGCTGGTACAATAAACAACTTTTATTTCTTAAAGATCTTGAATTCTCATGACCATGTTCAGTTTTTATTTCATCTTATTTTATATGTAAAATATAACATAGAAGCACCCAGCACGGTCATCACCACCTGTTTTAAAATAACTACCATGCTTGAGTGCTGTATATTTATTGGGTACTATGATGTTAGTACTGCTGTTAGCTCTGTTCTGCAGAAGTGGGAATAAGGGCTCAATGAGCTCAAGACTTTAGACATGCCTGACTGAATATAGACCTGCCATTATTTTTTAAAGAAAATATTTATTTATTTATTTGAAAGGCAGAGATACAGAGAGAGAGAGAGAGATAATCTCCCATCTGCTGGTTCACTCCCCAGATGGCTGTAATAGCCAGAGCAGTGCAGACCCAAAGCCAGGAGCTAGGAGCTTCTTCTGGGTCCCCTAAGAGGGTGCAGGGCCCAAGGACTTACAGTGTCCTCTACTGCTTTCCCAGGCCATAACAAAGAGCTAGATCAGAAGTGGAGAAGCCAAGACTAGAACCTGTGCCTATATGGGATGCCAGCACCACAGTGATGGCTTTACTGGCCAAGCCACAGTGCTGGCCCTGTAGGCCTGCCATTGTTAATTACTGAACTCTTCCAACCTCCCCTTTTCTGATTCCCTGTTACTAATTTCCTTTTGAGAACTTTTTGCTTTCTAGTTTTGAATCTCTGCAATGAAAGGTTTAGGGCATTATTTATGTGTCTAAGCATTTCTCTCAAAGCAGTCAGCACTTGTTCATCAGGAAAGTTTACAGTTCACTTCCTACAGCAGCAGGTGTTAAGGGATTAAAGAAAGTAAAGTTAATTTGGGTGGTCAGTTCTCTGGAGTCTTTTTGACCAACCAAGCACCCCATGGGTTTTCTTCCTTCTCACTGTGCAGCATGGAATGACACTCCTTTCCTATTTGTAAATCTAAGCTAATTTTCAAGCAGTCAGGTGTTCTGATGAATGTGCAGATGTGTAACTATTCAAATATGTGTTTATAAGCATGTATGAAGGGCCTGAAAGGATTTTCTCCAAAGTAGAAGCTGTAGTCCCTCCTGGAGAAAGGAATAGCAATGGAGGAGCTTCTGTCTTGATGAGGTGTGTTTCTAAACAGCTTTCATTTTTTTTCAGTGGACAATGGTTTAATTAAAGAAACACTAAGAAAGAGTATATTATGAAGAAACACATGTGGTCTGTGCTAAAATCCCACAGCCTCTCTAGGTTGTGTTTTTCTCATTTATAAAATGAGAAACTAAATGATCTCTGAGGCCCTTCCCAAAGCATTAATATTCCTCAATTCCTTCTATTCTGTTTTATAAAGCATAGCCTGTGTTGTTTGGTAGATTACCAACAAGTGAAGGGGACTGCTATAATTTACTTTTTAAGAGTAAATAAAATTAGGACTCAATTTGTTCTGCTCCCAGAAGCTATGCAGCATTGCCTCTGGCTCATTCACTATGAGGACGCTTATGGAGCACATGCTGTGGGACATCGTGGACTCCTGGTGCAGAAGGCAGAGCAGTGGGCAAGAGAAACTAGGTCCCTATACTCATCAGAAAATGGACACAGGTTGGAAAGACTCAATCATTGCAGATTATGACTGGTATGCGGGGACCAGAGGTGTATGGAAAGAAGGTGCTTAGACAGGCAGAGTTAGACAGTGAGAGAGAGAGAGAGAAAGGTCTTCCTTCCATTGACTCACCCCCCAAATGGCCACTACGACTGGCACTGCACCGATCTGAAGCCAGGAGGCAGGTGCCCCCTCCTGGTCTCCCATGTGGGTGCAGGGCCCAAGCACCTGGGCCATCCTCCACTGCCCTCCCGGGCCACAGTAGAGAGCTGGACCGGAAGAGGAGCAACTGGGACAGAATCCGGTGCCCCAACCGGGACTAGAACCCAGGGTGCTGGCGCCGCAGGCGGAGGATTAGCCTAGTGAGCCGCAGCCCCGGCCAGGAGAAGCCTTTCTAAGGAGGGTGCATTTGAGTGACAACTGAAGGATGAGAATGAGTGGGTGTGTATAAAGGGTGGAAAGGGCTTCCAGGAGGAAGGGGCGTATGTGCAAAGTCCTGGAGGTGAGAAGGGCTCTGTGCATTGGAGGAAGAGAAAGGCTAATTCTGCTGGACTGCAGTGAGTGAGGGGGATAAGATGACTGATTTTTTTTTTTCATGTTTGAAGCTTAGAGAACTTTACTTTAATTGCATGGGATGGCAATGAAAATATTTTAGCAGGGAATGATGTTCTCTGATCAGGCTGTCTTCAGTGGGAATGGGGAGAAGAGGAGTAACTCAAGATAGATTTTCAAGTATACATTTAAAGTAGAGCTGACAGGTCTTAGCAATGGAGTAGAGAAGGAGACTGGGAATAAAAAGGGAAGGATGAATAATGTCGTAGAACTGAACAGCCACAGTGAAGGCTGGAGGCTCAGGTCAAAATGTTAATTTCATTTTAGCACACAGAGTTTGTTCATGCTTTATGCTTAGAATTGAGAAGAGGGGAGGTGTAAGATATGGCACTGACCTTGAGCTAAAGGGCATTTTTATGCTGGTGAGATACAGACAAGAGACAGCCTTGCCCTTTTATAAGATTTGCCTGAAATTGTTTTAAAAATGTTTGTTTTCATACTTGAAAGGCAGTGCATGGGAGGGAGGGAGTCTATATGTGTGTGTGGGGCCAGGAGACAGAGAAAAAAAGAGATTGATTTTCTATCTGCTAGTTCATTCCCCAAATGCCTACAGTAGCCAGGGCTAAGCCAGGCCAAAGCCAGGAGTCTGGAACTCCATCAGTGTCTCCCATATGTGTGGCAGGGGCCCATGCACTTGAGCCATCATCTGCTACCTCCCAGGATGCACTAGCAGGAAATTGGATTGAAAGCTGAACAGCTAGGACTCAAACTATGGATGCCCAATGGATGAGGGCATCCTGAACATTGGCTTAATCTATTGTGTCACAACACTTGCCCCTGCAAATTCTTCAACACTTCTCCTATTGCAGTGTGGCATCTGTTTTCCCCCCTCTTGAATCTAAGTGAGCTCATGACTGTTTTGACCAATAGAATATGGTAGAAGTGATGCACGTGCCAAGTGATGTCACCTATCTGTGGGTGGTTTGTAAACAGTGTATCTTTTTCATGGGGACATGCATGGTTGGATCCCGAAACTCCAGTACTCCAGAACCACCACTGTAAGGAAGCCCAAAGCACATGGAGAGAACACATGTAACCTCCCTTAGTGGAAAACCTAGTCTTCAAGTCATCCCAATTGAGATACTTGACAGGAGGATTAAGAAACCTTCTAATGATTGTAGCTCCCAGACTATGAATCATGCTTAGCCTTTTAGTCTTCCCATGTGAGTTCCCAGACATCATGGAGCAAGTAAACACTGATCCTCTTGTACCTTGTCCACTGCTGGATCCACAGAATCTGGATATGTTAATAGGTTTTGGTGCAGTTTTTTATGCAGTAATAAAACTGGAGTAGCCAATTAGGTTGGTAAATACCTTCATTATAATACTTAGGAATTCTAGATTTTAGTTTTGGATTTGCCACAGAATTGCACATTTTAGGTCTTGATTCAAGGCCCAGACACTGAGACCATATGGAGGGCTTGATTCTAATGTTCCTCGATACCAGCTTGAGTGTTCCAAGAAGAAAGAAAATGTTCTAAACCCCAATATCATGTGATAGCCTCTGAGGACAGTTCTCTGTTGTATGCAGAAGCAGCCGTTGCCATCAGCTCAAATTGTCTCAACTGTCACGACTAAGATTTATTACATTCCTTTCTTCTCCTGATTTCCCTCAGGAATTTTGAAGTTCAAAAACAAATGCAAGGGAAGACTGTATAAGTTCTAGGGTCTTTGTCACCAACTTGGTCTATGATATCAGATAAGGCCTGTTCCTTCCCAGAGTCTCAGTTCCTTCCTTGTGAAATAGGGATATGGACAAACAAGAGCTAAGTCATGTTTGTACATTAGTTTTTTTGCATGAGAACAAGTTGAGAATAAGTGAAAACATGGATGGTGTGGGAAATTTTTTTTGTCTAATTCAAAATGAAATGGCTTTTTTGAGAACCAAAAGCAACACTGAGCCACTTAACTCTTCCTTTTGTTACAGTAGTGAACACTTATATATGAGGTCTACAGTGTGCTGAGCACTGTATTAGGTGTTTTATATGCTTTGAGTCATTTAGGTCAGTTTTTGGTGGTGGGTATTGTCATCTCCATTTCCTATGTGAGATTCAGCTGCTAAATCTTACCCAACTGCCAGGATTGGAACTACTTTTAGATGCTATGCTGTCCTGTTTTCAGTTCATCCCCAAACATGAAGATCTCTTTGAGATCTTGTATTTTATGATTCACATATCTTTTGGACCACATACTTGATGCTGTAAGGGCATTGGAGGAGAGCTGTGACTCAGTGGACTGTATTCGGGTCTTCAGACCTTTTACTGGTCACCAGTTGTTACTCCCTCAAGAAAACTTCTAGGCCAATGAAGATATGGCACTTCCTCAGTACTCTGTGTTCTTCCTGAATTAACTCCAGCCACTGAAGACAATAGTGACAGATACACCCCACAGCCATGATCAACTGGTTTCGGAGTTAATATTGAATTTTCTAAGGGCTATATTTTTGGGGTAAAGTGACAATCTGGGGTATCAACAAAATGAAGAAGATGAACCCAACACCATGGAAATTACAGTAACTAATGCTGCCTTACAACTAGTGTGGCACTCTGCAGTTGATTACCATTGTCATGTACACATGCATGTGCCTGCACACACACATACACACACACACATGCATATACACATATATTGCTTTAGTTGATCCTTGACATAACCCTGGGGAATGAGTAAGCCATATTACATGATGCATGCATGATGTTTCTCTTGAAGGGTGCAGAATGAAAGAAGGTGAGAATTACCCTCGGATTTCTAGGAAGAAGGGGAGCATTTGGGAGGGAGGACCAAGAACCAGTGGCTGGGAATGTCCCTGGTTTATGTATGCATTTTAAAAGTCAGAGAAGGCTAAGTGTCAACCCAGCTATCTGGAGGAGGGGTGAGTCCCAGTGTTCTTGGAAGCATGCAAGCGAGAGGTATGTGTTAGATGGTGACCATCCTACACAGCCCGCAAGCTGTCTTAATTGTGAGAGTCCAGGATTCTGTGAAATTGCACATGATTAACTCAACAGGTAGAAAATGATAATCCTAAGAGTCCTGAATACCTGTGATCTCTCTTCTTCTTTCCCTGCCTGGCACAGCCACAGCTGCACCTTCATAATAAGATTAGAACAGCAGGAAGTCATTTCTGTGGGACTGGGGAAGGGAGTCTGGCCTGCCTGTGATCTTCTGACTTGAATCCTAAGTTTGCTTCTTGCCACTGTTGGTCCTGCTGGGCTGCTCTGGGAGAGGGATGGGCAGAGATGGATCATTATGCCTATGCCAGAGGCAGAGGCGACGGGAAGTGCGAGCTCCGGCAGAATATCAGCCAGAGACAAAGGAGCAAGTGGTAGACAGATGAGAGAGGAGCAAATCAAGTGACATCAACAGGAGGGCTGAGTGTGCTTTGTGGGGGCAGGGAAGGACAAGTAGAGAGGAAATGCAGCTACTGACACCTGTCTCAAGGGCTATGGGAGGAAGAGCTGCTGAGATGACCATTTAATGAGTCTTGGTTTTCTGTGGAAAGCAGACAGGTAGAGCTACATGTAGAGAATTTGAAAGCACATTCCTTATGAGGTACAATCCTTGAATGGACTGATTTACTATTAATTAATTTATTGATAACTCAATATGTGCTAGGCTTATTGAGATAGGGGAGTAGGAAGATTCATGGGGCTTTTGTTAAAAGTCCTGGGTAGGCCTTAGTTTAGTTTAGTTTTTCTGAGGCTCTGTTTCTTCATCTGTAAAATGGACATACTAATGCCTGCCCTGTGCCCTCAGAAAGTGACTGTGAGGCCAGAATGAGACCACGTATGTAGAAAGCATTTTGTACACTAGCCCTGCGGCAGCCCTCTCTTTAGTGGTCATAGAAGAAAAGAGAGGATGGTAAGTAAACATGATTTTCTTTGGCAACCCACATCTCTGACAAATGAACCAGGGCTGGTTTACATGATCACTATTCTTCCTAAAGAAGTTTCAACCTTTTGTTTTTTTACCTGATTGATAGAAAGGGAAGTCTAGACCTGGATAACCCTGAAATTCAAACTTGGCTCTACCGTCTTGGAGTTGTGTGTTGTTTGAAGTTTACCTCTGAGCATCACAACTGAAAATGCGGATAACAATGCCCACCTTTCAGACTGTTGTTGGGGCATTAAAAGAGAGACTACAAGTAATCCATCAGGAACAGAGGCTGGCTTATAGAAATTCACCTGTATCTGAGGCCTCCTGGTGCCCTGGCAACGGAGACATTTGGCATTCTTCTGATGAATATTTTAGAAGTATTTTCCCTCTCTATACTGAGGACAGAATACATGCAGTTAGGGAAAAGGCCACTACCATCTCTGTTTGCAAGTCCTTCAGAAAAATGAAAGGGCTCTGGGATTGCTTTTTGGAAGGCTCCATTGCAACAATCTGAAGGATTGTCTTTGAGGCCTTCTTATGAACAAAAATTTCCACACTTCCGTAAATTTCTAACAATGACAACACAAACATGCATTCTGTCAGATCACCAGTTAGTTTGCTCTGTCTGTTAGCAATAGTGGCTTCCTTCTTTCCACCGTTTTGTTTGGAGGGTTAACTCTTGGCCAGTTGCATCCTCAAGTTAGGTGACATGCTTTCACTTCCCCTTCTTCACACAGTGTATCGATCACGGCCTCAGCAGCCATCTGCATTCTCATTTGGTAGAGGGCCAAGGTCATGAGGCAGATCGTTCATGTTCCAGTCCCAGCTCACCACATCTGCTTGTGTGACACTGGGCAAATCTTGTGATCTTCCTAAGTTTCAGGTTTTAATTTATAAAAAGGAGACAATAATATCCACTTTATCTACCACTCTGGACATGCTGAGGACCAAGACAGAAAATAGTTATAGAAAAACTTAGCAGGTATGGAATTCTATGGCAATAAGAAAAATTCTTATTCTAAAGCAACTGTGACTTTGAGTAAAAGAATCAAATATATTGATTGGCATTTTGTGTATGAACCAAAACAGGGTATAGAGTTTTCAAGGACTTCTGAAAGCATAAAACTACAACTTGTCTTTGCTGTTCTGTGCTGTAGCATAATTTGCCTCTGTGATTTTTTTCCTTTATGTTCTCTTAGTTAGGTGTTGTAACTTCTGTCAAGTTCCCATTGAATTTATGCATTTAGTGGGTTTCTTTCCATCAAAGACAACACAGTTAATGCAAAATTGATAACCAACTGCAGGTGTCCAATCTCTGCTGCAGAAAACAAATATGCATGAATGATAGAGCCTCTTCTTTCCCTGAAATGATTGAGAGGGAGGGAGGGATGGGGGGGGGGAGAGTGAGAGAGAGAGGGAGAGAGAAGCTGTCTACTAATATACTCTTTTTCCAGAGAATGAAGAGAATAAAATTTTATGGGCAGAAAGGAACCCTTTTGAGGACTTATTTATTGCTTCTTTAACATCAAATCTTTACAGAGAGCTTCCAGTTATTTTTGAGTCAGCACTCCCAACCCTGCCAGGAGACAGGTTAATAGAAATGCACCTTTTCCCTGATGGTAGAAGAAGAAATGGAGGCTGACAGAAGTCATAATGGTGGCATTGGTGTCAAAATACATACACATGAATTTGGACAGGATGTCTGAGTTTGGTCAGAGCAATTTGAAACCATTTGCCAGTTGTGGAAACAACTGATTAAACCTCAAATATTGACTTCATTTTTCTTAATCTGTTGTTATGTGGTTCATAGCAGGCCACTCATGGATGGATCAGAGTTCCTTTGGCTGTGAGAAGTGAAAATCAAAGCAGTATAAGCAAAAGAGGGGTTTGGTTAAATTGCATCTTGGGAAGTTTGGTTAAGCACTGGCCTCTGGAACAGTGGTATCCATAGAGTCAGATGACACCAGGACTCCTTCCCCATCCCTCACATCATGCATTGTGGCTTAAGTGAAGTGGCTTTGTCTACTCTTGCTGTAGAACAACTTTTTCTGCGTGATTCGAAAGATAGCCTTGGAAACTTTTTGCTTAGACTCAAAAGTATAACTTCTTTTTCATTCAAACTCTAGATTTAAAAAAATCCTAGGAAAAGATTTTAACTGGCCCAAGTTGGGTCACATGATTACATGTAGCCCAATGGTATGGTCAGGGCAAAAAGGCACTATAATTCGCTGGGCTAGGAGTGTGGGCTGGGGAAGGGGAGGGACTAAGATTGACAGTACAACCAGGATCATGATTAGTAGGAACAGCTTCCCAAAAGAAGGGATGGCATGCTGTTTATTTCCTACCAGTAGGGCATTGTTTTCTGTTTTTCCAATGTCTGAGAAGTTAGTTTCTATGTCATTACTAAATGGCTTCTAACTAGTTCATTAAGATGATTACTGAAATTAAATTAATAGCTTCTTTTTTCTTCATTAAATGAGTTTGTACGTGAAGACAAAATCTCTCTGTCACAACATTTTTTTTTGAAAGAAAAATCTAAATGATTTTTAGTGACCAGCTTTCTAGGAAAGATGGAAAAGAGGAATAATGAGCTATTTTACCTGTCTAAAATTCCTACATAATTAAAATTTGATTTTATATAAAATACCCCCTTCTGCCAGCATTGTAGCATAGTGAGTGAAACAGAATCTGCTATGCCAGCGTCCCATATGGGAGCTGGTTCATGTCCTGGCTGCTTCACTTCTAATCCAGTTCCCTGCTAGTGGCCTGGGAAAAGCAATGGAAGATGGCTCAAGTACTTGGGCCTCTGCTACCCATGTGGGATACATGGAAGATGCTCCTGGCTCCTGGCCTCTGCCTGGCCCAGCCCTGGCTGTTGTGCCATTTGGGGAATGAACCAGCGGATGGAAGATCTCTCTCTCTCTATCTTTGTAACTCTGACTTTCAAATAAATAAATAAATCTTTAAAAAAGGTCTTGTCTTCCTGGAATTGTTTAGATAACTGCTTAATCTTCTAGTTAGAACTCTGTGTACGTCTAATCTTAGGCCTCACTACTGAATTATCAATTTCTGTTGTTTTCACAACTACTTTGTATGTGGAAACAAGGACTTCCTAACTGTAAAATAGTGGCTTTGCCTTCGACAGCTTCTTATTTTTCCTCCTGAGCTCTCGGCTTATCTCTCTGTGCACCTATTCTATCCTTCAAGTGCCTCTTCACTATTATGCATTTATCAAAATCTATTATCAAGAGAACACCTTGTAACAAGCATGTAAGCCCAGTTTGACTTTGTCAGATATTTTTTTAGCTTACAGTGGCATTTACAAAGCCACTTGACAAAGATTGTGGACTAAAAGGCATTGTCTTGGCTAAGAGATGTTGAGGAAACAGTAAACAACAAGGAAACGTTTTTTGGTTGTGGGAATTCTGATCCTGATGCTGAAGTGCTACCACCTAGGCATTTGCCTACTGTATTTAGATTTGAGACGAGTCCTAAATACAGTTTTCAGAGGACTCTCTCAAACACCTTATCCAGATCATGGCCCAGTTTATCCAAGTACATTTAACTAGCTGTACAGGACTTCAAAAGAAGCCAGAGTGGAGTTTTAGGATTGTTTGAATATAAGAAGACATCTCTGCAGTATACCCTGTACTTTGAACCAGGAGAGCAGATGAGAATCAAGTCTTAGTTTAACAAGGAACTTAGTAGACCCAAGGCAAATGGCCTATTCTCTAGGGCCTCAATTTATTTATGAAATATCATTGAATAAAATGATTGGGTGATTTCTGTGGTCTCTTCAAACTTTATGTTCTTTTCTGAATCTCATTCATTTATTTAAAATCTTCATGCAGTGGAAATGCTGCTGTTTCTTCCCAAAGACACTGTGAGCATGGAATCAGATAATGGATGTAAAATGTCCAGCACAGTGCAGATGCTCAACAGGGGGCAGTAGTAATTCTTATACCTATTAATTATTCTACCACATGGTTATTGCAGCTTGATATTTATGTACTGATTCTATTTTCTGTTGGTAATAGAAACCTAACTCTGGCAAAAATTCAAACACATATATGTAAGATTTTTTTTTTTTAGAGGCAGAGTGGACAGAGAGAGAGAGAGACAGAGAGAAAGGTCTTCCTTTGCCATTGGTTCACCCTCCAATGGCCGCCGTGGCCGGCGCATCGCGGCCGGCGCACCGCGCTGATCGGAAGGCAGGAGCCAGGTGCTTCTCCTGGTCTCCCATGGGGTGCAGGGCCCAAGCACTTGGGCCATCCTCCACTGCCTTCCCAGGCCACAGCAGAGAGCTGGCCTGGAAGAGGGGCAACCGGGACAGAATCCGGCGCCCCGACCGGGACTAGAACCTGGTGTGCCAGAGCCGCAAGGTGGAGGATTAGCCTATTGAGCTGTGGCGCTGGCAAGATCTTTACATACATTCAAGAAGCCCCTGTGATGTGGCACAAATATTACTACTCACCAAGCCTATAGTCTTTCAGGAACATGAGAGAATGTTCTGCAGTAAGGATGCTGAATATGTTTCAGAGAAGTTGCCCTTCCTCATCTTGTGCTCATGATTTTGTTTATGAATCCCTCGTGGTCCAGTATAGACTGGGCTCGGAATCCTTCTGTCGCAGTATCTTTGGTAGCGCCCTGGTGGTGCCTGGAGCTCACTGGTTCTGTCTGATGACTTCCTTGCATGTCCAGACAAGCACCATTCACAGGTGGTAGATGTTCCCTACCATGGTAGTGTCCTTCTGGACCTTCTTGCCAGAAACCATCACAGGGACAGTGGCATCATGATCTGTTATTACAATCGTAGTGTTGTAGGAATTACATGAAATCTAGATAGTTAAATTTCTGCTTGCACCTCTGAGCCTCTGTTCATGTATGAAACTAGAATGGTAATCCCACCTCCCAGGGTTGCTACTGTGAGCATTCAATGAGAGGAGCTGAGGAAAGTGTCTTAATTTATTGCAAAACTCATTATCTGACACATGGATTTATTCCTTAGCTCAAAAACTCTCAACAGCACTTTATTTCTTGATGGAGTCAATTTCAGTTCCCCCTGCCTACTTTGGTTTCTCTTTCATACTCCTCTTTGGCTAACGTGGTACCACTGACATTGGGTATTTGTTCTCTCTCAAAGAAATCTTGCCTATTCCTGCCCTAATTCCCTGGCTTGTCCTGTTTACCCTTCTTTGGAAGCTTTATCTTCTATTTCTGACACTATAAGGTCTATGAAACCTGCAAGGCAAAACACAAGTACCATCACCCATTTACCTCATTTCTCCATGCAGAAATGATCTCTGCCTCTTTTAGATACCACTACCATTTGAAGTTTACTTGTCTCATTCATCCAGTGATTCAACAAACTGATTATTTATTTTGTGCCAGGCATCTTGTTGGGGCAGACAAGGTCCCTGGTCTTGTGAATGAGTATTGTAGATGGAGACAGAGAGACAGACAATAGTAAACACGATATTATTAGTTGGTGATAAGTAATGTGAGAATAAATGATTTCAGAGCTAGTTTAGATAGGGTGGAGAGAAAATATTTGGGGGAGGATGTTTAAAACACATTTATTTCATTTCATCTGCTAAAAGGGGTGGGGAGATTTCTTCCATCTATCAGTTTACTCTCTAACTGTCCACAATAGCTAGGCCTGGGTGAGGCCAAAGTCCTGAGCCTGGAACTTCATCTGGATCCCCAACACTGGTGTCAGAAACCCAAGTACTTGAGCTATCATTTGCTACCTCCTAGGATGCATTAGCAGGAAGCTAGAATGGAATTAAGTAACAAGGACTTGAACCAGAACTCTGATATGGGGTGTGGGCATTCAAAATTATGGCTTAATGTGTGTCTCAATACCCACCTAGGGGAAGACATTTTTGATTAAGATATGGATGATGAGGAGCCACTCTCAAAAAGATCTGATTGAAGTCAAGGAAACAGCAGGTGCAAGGGCCGTAAGGTATGGATAGGTTTGGCCTGTTTGAGGAACAGTATGGAAAATGGTGATCAAGGGCAGCGGGTCTGAATTGTCTTGTCATGTCCTTATCATATCATGACTATTTGTCATGGGCAGAGTCCTGTTCTTAGAACATGCTAGTGGTGAGCATGTGGAAGATGATCCAGGCACTTTGTCCTTTTGCCCATCTGGTACTTATTACTTTTGAACTTGTGTTCTACTTAAAGATTTTTTGCATCTTTTTTCCCTTCCTGACTGTCATCTCTTGGAGAGGCAGGGCTATTGCTTTTCTCTTATTCTTTATGCTCTGTACCTGTGAATGAGGGTGCTCATTATCTGTGTTTTTTAGAAGGATAAGTGCATATTGTTCTGGCATAAAATGAATCATATCCTGTCTCTTGGTGGAGGGTAGGGCTCAGTCATAGGTTTCTGAACTGGTTCTGGCTGGAGTTACCAGGAAAAAAGTGAACACAAACTGCATGTTCAAGCCAAGTCTCTGATGTCCCCTTGCCATATTAACCGTGATTGCTTGATTGAATCCTCAGCCTTGGCTTCTCTGGCCTAATTTATGTTCTGGACTAAACTGTTTATATCAGCTTACTTCCCTAAACTCAAGTTTTTCCTTGCCTAAATCCATGTAACTGTTGATCTTCTCTGATGGTTCACTTGATTTGCCATCATTGACTCTTTACTACTTATCCATTTCTTGTCATCATTCACATCTCAACATGCTCTTAGGATCTTTTTATTATACCATACATGGCTTCTCAACCTTAGCACTATTGAAATCTTGGATGAGACAATTCTTTGTTGTAGGAAGCTTCCTTGTATATTGTAGAGTGATTAGAAGCATCATTATGTCTGTCTAGTAAATGCCTGGGATATCCACTTCCCCAAATTGTGAAAATCCAAAATATCGCCAGATATTTCCAAGTGTCTCCTGGGGACAAAATTACCACTAGTGGAGAATCACTAATAAAAAAAAGCTGCACTTAAAAGGGATCTTAGTAATTGTTAGATTTATCCTTCTTCCTCACTTCACAGAGGACATCATAGCACAGGGTAGTGAAGTAAGTTGCCCAAGGTCACAAAGGAAATTAGCAGCAGTTCAAGAAATAGAATTCATGTCTTCTAGATCTCAATGTGATGCTTTCTTTGGCATGGTGAAATCGCTTCAAGAGGCGGCAAAGTGGAAATTGGTTTACTTTGGACAGAGAGACAGACTGGGGTTAGAATATAGGTCGAGCCGCTACTTAGTTGCAGGACCTTGGATTTTCACCTTCCATTTCCCTCTATGAAGATGAAAAATCCCCACCCCATAGTATGATTTTGAGGACTAAATAAGAGGCATTTGAAACCCTAGCATCCTTCCAGGTTTGCAGTTAATACTGAGCAAATGCTGGTTCCTGTTCCTTGGTATATATCATGCAAGTAGCAAATATAGTATCGACAGGGAGGAGTTAGAGTCACTGTGAGTAATAGAGTAACCATGGAAGGAAAGGCTCCTGGGACGTGTCTTCCAGTGGACTGTATTAGAAATGCAAGTGGTGAGATTTGGTGTCTATAATGGAAACAGCCAAGTAGTTTTCCACTTTGGCTGTGTTGAAGGCTGACTCATTTGGCAAAGTTGGCCCTCCCACTTTGCTGAGGAGGCACCTCTATGATAAGTATCTTATCTCTAAAGTCCTGTGTCTCTCCTTTTCCCCAGAAGAATGGTACATTATTATAAACACACCTAAAAGATAAAGAAGCATTTAGAGCTCAACTTGGGACTGGACTACTTCTTCCTTTCTTTTTTTATCAGATGATTCTAATGACTTTTTTCCTTTGGAGATTTGATATCCTAGGTTATCTTGTGCAGCTAAATTTCCTAATCATTGAGATTTCTGGATAGGCCATCGTGAGATACTGTTCAGGGGTCCAGTACTGGTCAGCTTTCAGTCTCTGTTCCACAGACTTTCTTATGATACAGGATGTGCCTAATGTAAAAGGAAGGAAAAAGCATGCTGAAAATATAGACTGTCACCAGGTAACCTAGTTTCAGATGTTCTGCCATTGACAGATACTCCTAATGGAGTGCTTTGTAATTCTTAAAGATGTTTCCATAAGTAGTTCTCAAACCTGCCTGCACATTACAATTGCCTGGAAGTTTAAAACAAAACAACCAAAACAACACAACAATTTCTAACTATTGCTGTGCTTCATCTCAGACCAGCAAAACCTGAAGTTATATCCTGGACACTGATGATATAAAAAAACAAAAGACTTTCTTAGGTGATTTTAATATGTAGTCAGGCTTGAGAATTGATGCTGATTTTGAATCTAGATGTCACATTTCTTTGGTGAGTAAACCAAGGTTCAGGGTACTTCATTTTTTTGTCCAAGCTTGAAAGGCAGAGCTGGAAGGAGAAGCCAGCTTTTGTAAAGCCTACTCCACTACTCTTTATTCTATTGCTTCTCTGCTTTTGTGTGACTTTAGGAAAATAGTTTCTTCAAGAATCCTATTTGTTAAAATCCTATATTTTGCAACAGAGTATATGCAGCTGGGAACCATTATAGTTAGTGAAATAATCCAGTCCCCAAAGACAGATATCATGTATGATTTCCCTGATCAGGGGTAACTAATAGAGTACCTAAAATGTAATGTGTTGGAGTAAAACGGGCATCTTGAGATTTGATGATTGCTTACAATTGTTTATGTCTTCTGTTGAAGAACAATGGTTTTTTTTCTTCATACTGTTTGTTGAACTCTTACTTAGTGTACAGTTAATCTTATGATTATTAAGCAAACTGAAAGTAGATCTTTGTAAAAATTAAGAGTGGGAATGGGAGAGGGAGGAGGAAGGTGTAGAGTGTAGATGGGAGGGAGGGAAGTATCACTATGTTCCTAAAGCTGTATATAAGAAATACATGAAACTTATATAACTTAAATAAAATTTAAAAAGAAACAATGGAATATATTTTTAAAAAAGCTTTCTGATTAAAAAAAAACCCTATTTGTTTTATCTGCAGAGTGGGATAGAAATTCTTTCCTAGAGAACATATGAGCCTTTTGTAAGGAAAAAACTTGGCATATTGTCTTTTATTAAATCAGTTGATTTTTGACATTATTTCCCTGCAATATATCCATGTCCATTTGCACAGGGCCTTGATACCAAATTTTAGTGCTTGTCAGAGAACATGAAAAATAGGGATATGAAAGATTCAAGAGAAGACATCAGCTGACCTTAACTTCTTTACTCCCTGCTGCTTGGTTCAGAGGACATCAGATTAAAAGTCTTAGAAATTCTAGTAATCTGGGCAGGAAGGAAAATCAAAAGATATGTATTTGCTTTTCACACTAGCAATATCTCCTTGGCAGGTTCTTAGCCTAACTCCAGGGACAATCTAATTCTATTATGAGATGACTGACCACTAGTTCAACTTAAATCTGTTTCCTAGTAACTCCCAGAACTGATCCTGGATTTGCTCACACAGAAGAAGATAGCTTTGTTTCTTCTATGATGGCCTTAATGATCCTTCTGCAGTCTGAATCAACTCTTCTTCATGGGACCTGGTTTTCAGTCCTGTCCCCAGTTTGCTAGTGGCTTCATTACCTACATGTATTTTAAAGGTGCTAAAACTGGGACCCCTCCCCTCCTTCCTTTGCAGTTCTGTCTGGATCAGTGATATATCTTCCTGTGCTAAGAGGATGGGCAAGATTTCCTCAGTGAGTGGTAGCTGTAGCCATAACCATTCCATTTTCCATTATTTTGGCATGAAAGGTAGGTAGAATACTGTTCACCTGGTATTTTCCTGGCCATCATTCATCATGACCCAGTTAACAATGAGATGGGCAGTTAGAGATACAAAGGCTTTGGATTCAGATACATGTCATTGAAATTCCAGCTCTGACACAGCTGTCAGCAAGTTATGTCATATTTTTAAGTCTCAGATCCCTCATCTGTAAGGTCCTACTTTGAGAATCATTATTGTGATACAGAAAATATAAGATATTATTAACATAGTATGTACTCAGTGCATGGTAGCCTATGCTATTTTAGCCATTGTTTATTATGCAAACTATTAGGCAGTAAGGTGACAGAGATAAGTTTTCCTTGTCCTTTAGCTGATGTTTGGTGGTTGTTCATCCAGAACCACCCTCAATGTGGCCAGATGCCTGCAGCTGGGTGTGAATAATGACTAGAGCTCCATACTAGCATGCGAGTTCCTCTCTCTCTCTTCCATTTCTATCACAGTAATCACTACAGTTAGGTAAAAAATGAATAAAGGATATTATCTGGTAGTTGGTAATGTGCAAAGTTCCTTAGAAAATAAAATACTTGAAGTTCTTAGTCTTCAGCATGTAAGTTTCGACAAGTGTCTGATCCTTTCCAGAAAGCCCATCTTGCTTGAGACAAAGATAAGCTTTTAGGTAAGACTGAGGGCTGTGAGTCTGAGGACCAAGGTTATCTGCTTACAAGGCTGGTCTAGATTTAGTTCTGGCCATGATTCTGTGCATATCACAGTTATATGTGGACTTCTGTTTGGGGATGTCTGGGAGACATTACCTATGAATCATACAGATCCCTAGAGACACTATCATGGCTGCACGTCAAATCTTGCTTTTCATGCAGTTGAAATTGTGGTCCTTAAAAGCCAAATATACTACTCTCTGTCTTTTGTTGTTGCTGTTATCTTATTTGGATGAATGATTCACAAATGTTCTAGTTCAGTGGAAATAACTTGAGAGTTATTCATGCATTAGGCACAGTGGTCACTATTAAAAACCTACTAGTCTTAGGCTCAGCATAAGGAAATAAAAGATCTATAGTCCCAATTTCAGAAATGGCAAAAGAATGGAATGGACAAATATGAAAAGTAGATAATGGATCCACAGTGATTTAATTCTCGGTGATATTTTCATTTTATGCAAATACCAAAAAAAAAACCTGGCTATTTGAATGAAAGACAGTAACCAAAAAATATTTAGTGTTTGATCAAGCAAGAATCCTTTCACACATCTGCCAAGAAAGTTAAAACAAATATAGATGTTAAATAAAAGGCCCAGGTACCAAAGAGCAAAATTTAATGAAAGCCAGAACTGTTAAGTATGGATTCCTGTTGAGAAAAATGTCAATCTCTTTCAGAGTTTTCCCAATGCTCTATTTTTTAAGAAAAGTGTAGTAAAAATACATAATACAAGTTAACTTTTTCTTGCTTTTGTTTTTTCCATTCATCCCTCTATTGATGAAAAATATCTTCTTTTGGAGTTTTGGACCCCCACATGGCACAGACCCTCGTTTCCAGGACAGTCTCTCCCTATCAGAGTATGTTACTGGTGGGCTCAGCAGCTGGAGAGGCATCTTAACCAGGCCAAAGGTCTTTGAAGCATGTTGATGGTAGAGGGTTATTTCCAACTCTTCTGGAGTGCAGACAGCTTAATGGAGAGTCCTGTCAGATTCTATGGTGGTAGGCTAAGGGCTGAGAATAACCTGGTGTGAGGGTAGCGGGTCTGGTAGGGCATCAGTTGGCAGTAGTAAAAAGTGATGATCCACCTGGAGGGTTCTGCTTTCACGTACCATGCCCATATTGAAACTTGAGAAACTGAACACTTGAGTTGGAAGGGTTGTAGTTTGGAAAGGTTCTTTCTATGGTGATGAAAAGAAAATGGGAGAGACAAAGAGATGGTGGGTGTCCACTGAGAATTCACAGATGAAGCCAATCATGCTGCACCTACCACCAGGTAGGCTCCAAAACCTTGAATTTGTCAATTGCTAATGATGACCACTAGCAGAGAAGACTGGAAAGAAGTAGGGGGTAAAGGGACAAGCCAGAGATGGTTATCAATAAGAGCTAATGACACATGGCACACACTGAATCATGCACCTAAGAGAATGGCTGCTGGACAGCTGGAAGCCAATTGCACCAAGAATGAGAGTTGGGATCTCCAAGAAAGCTATGGGCCAGGAACTCCCACTTCTAACCAAAGTTGCCACCTGCCTGGGCTTCTCTCTGTGAACCTTTTGCTTCTCCAATCTGGCTTTAGTTCAGTTTTGCAGTCACAAATATGGGCTTATTGATTCTGGTCATTGGAATACAATGTCTTCATTCTACCTTAGCCATGGGGAAAGTTAGCTTCTTAGGTTCAGAAGTTGGGATCAGGGATCTTAAGGTCCTCCAGTGTCATTATCACCAGAATCTGTCTCCCTATCATTCTTCAAATATTTCAGCCTTGGTTATGTTTCTTTCTAAAGATGATAGAATGTTGTCTGGCCACATGCTGAAATAACACTCAATATTAACGTGAAAACTCAAGTTCTCAGCATAACCTAAACTTCATATTTAGTCTCTCAAACCTAGGGCAGGGCACCGTGGAAAGCTCTATTGCATGTGGGCTTTGATAAGGCTTCCTCTTCCAAAATTCTTCCATCACTTTTGTTTGTTGCACTGAGCTTGCATAGCATTTCCCCCCATGTCAGAGGCTCCACAAAGAAAGAGTCTATTCCACATGGGGGTTCTTGCTCAGATGTCAAGCAAAGGAAAAGTAAGAATCATGGGGGCTTTCTCCCTGGCTGTCCACTCTTCCCAAGGCTCTTCTTAGTTCAGCAGGTTAATTGCCCTTTAGCCACCAGAGTGCCTTTGAGCCTGAGAATAGCAGAAGGACATAATTCTCAGGGCTGAGGTTGACTCTGTGAAGAAATACACCGTACCACCTGTGGCCTATGGAATGACTCTTACGCTTTAAGATTTTCTGAGCAGCAGTACCTTCATCAGTCCTCCTCTGCTCATCTGCCATTTTCCTCTCCACCACACTGACTCTGAATTGCTTTTAGCAGGTGTTCTTTGCTACGTTAGTGTTTAGGCGGTGCCTTATCAGAGGAAGGTAGCCTTTTCCTCCAACAGTGTCTCCATCCAAGGCTTGGGGCCAAAGAGTGGAGGTAACATGGAGAGCTCCCATGGCAAATTAGTTTCAAGGTTACTTTTTTTCCTTTTGCTTGCTTGTAAGGTGGAATGAATCTTGAATTTCCAATATGACAACTGAAGAGGGATAGGGGAGGGAATTGGAAATTAGAAATCAGGAGAAAGAAGGGGCTAACAGAACTGCAACCCATGGATATTAGTAAGAAAAAAAAAATTCACACACTAAGACACATTAACACCTGAATTGAAAGAAAACAGTCCAGTTTCCTCATTAGTGTTCCAGTGACTCCATTTGCAGAGGCACAGGCTTCATTAGACAGGGTTATTCTCCCCTTATTGCAGTACAGGGTACTTAGCATCCTCACCTAGCAAATGGAAAAGAGTGAGAGAACATCAAAAAAGAAAAGGGACAGCAAAACCATTTTCATTTTTTCAGGAAAATCTGTTGAATCATCCTCCTTGTGGTTGTGGTGGTTGGTGGCGGTTGTTTCATTTTGTTGTTGTTTTTGGCACTGAAGGGTTTGGGATGGGGCTGGGGGAGCCCGAGCCTGCTCCCCAAGGGGTCTCCATCTGCTCCAGTTACAATCCCGTAGCTCCTAAGGGCATCCCTGAACTGTGGCTCATGCAGGGAATTGATTGCATGGACTTAGGGAAGTCATGGCTGACCACCCGGCCGTTCTCTCCACTGCCGCTGCCGCTGGCTCCTGCCCCGCTGTTTCGTGGTAGAGTGGATGTCCGTATGGCTTCGTTGATGGATTGCTGTGGGATCAAACAGAAACCCTTTTCAGGAGGACGAGGGGTTCTTCCCCGGGTCCTTGGCAATGATTGATGAGAATGCATCATAAGATTGGCCTTAGAAATATATCCCCAACTCACCATTCCTATTATAGAAGGAACTTCTTTCCTATTCCTAATGCCCAACTTGTCTTCCTATGATCTCACAACAGTGTTTCATGATTTTGGACACATCTGATACCCTCTGGGCCTCTGGTTCAATGTTTACTGAGGTTTATTAGGTTGAACTCTGTGATCCTTTCTAGTTCTTAAATATTGTGATTCCAAAAGGTAGAATGTTTTCTTGGTATTAATGATAATGATAAATATAGCAACACAACCAAGTTGAAAAGTTCCTGGGAATGGGTTTTGGGAAACTTGGATTCCAGTTCTCGTCCTGACATTAGTTACTTCTGTCACCTTCTGCATATCCCCTTATTTTCCTAGATCTTTTGAATCTCCACATCTATAAAAAGTGATTGTTTATGCACCTATGAGCTTTTCGTAGCAATAATGGTGTTGCTACGTGAAAAGCGCTTTGACATGTTAAATGAAATAAGGGATATGTTATTGTAGGGTTAAAGTAAAATTACCTCTGATTCAATTCAGGAAAAGGGCTTTCCTACCTCTGGCAGTAGAAGTTAAGGGGATGCAAGAGACATTTAGATACAACAATGTGCAAAGGGAAATACAAAATGAAAACATGAGGAATTAATGGTTACTTATTTCTAAAGGAATAATGAAAAGAACATCTTATTTGTATGTATGGGAAATAGATTTGAAAGCCTATCCTTCATCTACTGAAGAAATGAGAACACATTTCAAGGATCATTATTTGTATGTCAACTGCTTCCCATTAGTATGTATAACCTTTATGGCAAATTGGTGCATCAGATGAGTGCCATTAAATCCATTTCTATTGTGTTGGAATTCTGTATCTGAAAAGTTTACAAGGGTCATCTCAATCAGATGAGTTGAGTGGAGTATTCAAGACCACAGACTAGGTCTAGAACCATATCCTGTAAGATAAGAATTCTGTTCAGAGTTCCTTTGGAGAAAGAAACTGTAATGTGAAATCTAAACCCTTACCTTTTCCTGCTCATCTTTAATTTCCACTGAGAGCTAATCATAATTTTTTTTAAGGTAAGGTTCAGTTTCTTGGTTGTAAGCAACATGAAGGAGGATTGTTTGAATTGGTAGCTTTCTTTCATTCTTCCTCGTTCTTCAAGGTTGAGTCTGTTTTACCTCCTCCCTGAAGTCTTCCTAGACTGCTCTAACCTACTATAAGTGCTGGCCCTTCTCAGCTGGTACTCATCAGTTATTCATTCTCTTAGAATGTCCTCAGTTACATACATCTTTCTTCTTTAAGAGAGCTAATTGTGTTGTGGAGGGGAACGGCCATGTCTTTTGGATCCTCAAGTCTTCCTGAGGTGTATAGTATGTAGTATGATGCTCAATAGATGTCCTTAAATTTGCCTAAGAAAAATGAACCACTTAAGATCCTTATCAAAAAGTCTGTGGTTTTGTCCCTCACACATTGCCATCATTTTAGTGATCTGAGAAGTTAACTCCGGCCAGCAAGAGATCAATGAGGGCAGTTTTGGTCTAATTTTTAATTTTTGTGCTATCCTTTTATGACTGGCAATCCTGACAGTGTTTTAAGTGTTCTCTCATTTTCAAATCCATGATTCAGACAGATTTCCCTATTTGATGCTCCACCTACACTGGCTCTGTCTGCCTCACACCCCGGGACTTGGTTTAACCATTTATGCTCTCCCATGGCTGTGTTCCACTGAAGAGGAAGTAAGACCTGGATTGCAATATTTCAAATCAAAGATCAAATAAATGCCACCATGATGGTTCATGGGGGAAGTATAAAATGAAAAAAATAAGAGATTAATGGTTACTTAGTATCTTAAGAAATAATAAAAGTAAAATAACATCTTTGTCTCTATGGGAAATAGATTGGAATGCCAATCCTTCATGATTCTTCTCTGTGACATCTCTTAAATAAAAAAGTCTAAATCTCACAGTATCATCTTGGACTCTTTTTTTTCCCAGAGACTCACATATTCCCATAACATTCTATTGAAATTGGTAGTACTTTATGAATTTATCTCAAAGGACAAGATTGATGGCACAGTCAACATTGGTGCATACTGAAGTCTGAGATAACTTAGCTCATGTAATTAGTATCGGTTTTCAAGGAAGCTGAGGGCTTCTCAGGGGTCAGTGATTCCAAATTCTAGATTCTTTATGGAATCTCAAGAAGAAACATGAACAGAGTCAAACCTATGGAGTGGAAAGTGATGCTAAAAATCAATTATATCAGTAGTTGTCAAGCTTGGTTGCACATTGGGATCACCCAGGGAGTTTTGGGGAGCAAAACCTTGATGCCTGGCCATATGCTCAGAGATGCTGAATTAAGAGGTATGATATGTGGCATGGACTTCTTTTTTAAAAGCTCCCTAGGTGATTCTAAAATGCTGGCAAGTTTTAATGACAGTGATCTTGTTTATCCTGTTTACAGAGAAACAGATGAGTTCTGACTGGCTTGTTTAGGACAACAGTTATTTGGGACCTAGTGATAGAGCAGATGACTGTCTAAATATGGATCTTCCTGCCTGCTCTAGCTAAGCTGTCATAAACTGATGTTGCTCTGCTGCTGCCTTTCGGAAATATGGTTCTCTCTTGTCCCTCCTAGACATACCACACATTATTAAAGTTAATCCAACAACTGCAAGTTGTTGGTTTTTTGTTGTTTTGAAACTGATACTCCAGGAGAAAAGGGTGAATAAAAAGTTCAACCTTAAAGCTCCCAAATTGGCTCTTCAGAGACTCATTTCTCTAAGAGTGATTATATCCTACCCTCTCAACCACTTGCTTGTCTAAGAGGTGTGCTCCCAGATTCTGCACGTCAAAAAATGCCCTAAAAAAAGGTCATATCTCAGTAGTGATCTCTTCTAGGCACATGTGAAGAACCTAAGTGACCACTTGCTGTGAAGGACCTTCCCCTTTTTTAAAGGAGAGTTTCAACTGCTTGTTAATCCCAGAGAGACGTGCAAGCCTTCAATTGCTATTGCTTTAACACATCCTGTGTTAGCATAACCACATATAATTTTGAAAGGTCAGTAGCTCTCCTGGGGGTGCGAAGGACAGGGGATTATTTCCTTTGGAATCAAGGTAGTGAATAATAAAGAATAATAATAAAGTTGTCCTTAATATCAGCTAAGGACACAGGTTCCAGTCTGTTTTCCCTGGCAGAGGGGAGGGGCAGGGGATTTGAGACTACATTCAGTTTGGAATGTGTTTTAGATGATGTGTTTTTCTACAGTATGACAAATTATCACATATTTTGGGTTGCCTGAAATCCCTCTTTGAGTTCCCCACTCTCACATGCTATTCTTTCCCTTCAGTCTTTCTGTGTTCCAGATTCCCTGGCCTTCTTCCCTCTTTGAAAGCGAATGCTAGTCTTTGGGTTTCTGACACTTGTGCATCTTTTGCTGGCAACTCTGTTCCCTTGGTTAATTATTCATTGCTGCAAGTCTGTTAAACATCACTTTCTCAGGGAAGCTATCCTGAACACTCAAGTCCTCATTTTCCCATCAGAACAGGCTTCTGTTCGATACTTGGCAGTATGAGGCATTTTTCTTCACAACACTCATCAGACAGTTAAGCATTTGATTATTTTCTGTCTTCCCTATCAACCTCCCAGCTTCCTGAGAAGAGAAACTGTGTTTATTTTGTTTGACTTCATCCTAGGTATCAAGAATGGCTTAGCATATAGTGGTGTTCAGAGTGTCTTTGTGGAAGGGACACCAGTAGGGCACCTTTCCACCATCACTGCAATACTTGTTTATGTGTCCTGCTCACTGACACATCAAAGGAGAAAGGGACCCAACAATGTACAGCAAAGAATTAAACCATAGTCAGTTACAACAACTAGATCTAGAAAACCTAGGAAGAGAGATCCCTTCTTTTTGGTTTTGTGACTATCACTGGCACAAGAGAGAGAACTGAAGAAAAAGCTTGGCTAGGACCAAGATCTTGGACTTTGTAGAGGCTATGTTGGAGGCTAGAGGTCTAATTCCTGTTCCTCTGGCCCATAGCTTGTATGATTGTTCTAGAACAAGCTACTTGGTTTCTCTGGACCTCTATTATTTTATCTGTAGGACTGCAAGGATAACATACTACAGAGTTAATTAAAATGTATAGAGAACATTGATTTCGGTATCTGTGAGGTTGGAGGTTATATGACTGAAAAGAACCAACAGCTTTTGGAGAAGAAAAATAATAGACTCATAAAAGCATAGAATTATTGAAAAGCTGAAAAGTATGAGGGGCAAGTGGAATACTTCTCACTTTGCTCTTTTGGATAATAGAAGAATTGGTGGAGTTTCAAAATTAAGGCCGAGTTGATTAATAAGGAAAGTATCTTTTTTGTAGTTAGAAGATTGAAAATTATATTAGGAATCTCAATGAATTGGGCAGAAGTCATGTCAGTCATGGAAGATTGCTATGGAGGACCTTGAATTAATGATTCCAAGAAACTGCTATTGGTTTCTGAGAAATCGAATATATTCATTGAGAAGGAAGGTAAGAGTCTCCCTCAACAAGCTAAGCCATGAATCAGTAGCATCTTTTAAGACTTCTCTTAATCTCAATATTGTGACTTCAGTGGTAGAAGTCAACACAATCCCAATTTTAAGATGATCTCAGTCTTTCGCAACCCTTATACTTCTACCCAATTCTGGTCATAATTAGTAGTAGTCACTGTCATTTCAGAGGAAGGGTTGGATTTCCAGAAAATTTCTGATTCTATCATATTTTATGAACATTAACAGATTGGGCCATAATTACCTTGGCTGGTATTGTTTGTACTTCCCAGAGGAGGTGGTTTTTGATGATGGTATTTGCTTAACCTAAGAGCAGTTTCCTTCAGTGTTCTGCCTCATCCTTCAACAGATTTTATCCTTTGGATAAAATTCCATGTTAATTTTACTAATACTTTCCCCAGGTGTGTGGGTATCTTGAAAAAAAATTAGATCCAACCTCTTAGAGAACTAACAATCTATATAGTTTTGAAAACCCAACACATGTAAGTAAGGGCAGTAAAGGCAAAGTTTTAAGGAAGATGTAGCTGGCCACTACTTATAATAATAACAAGTATTATCATAAATTATAATTATTATTTATTGAAGGATTATTGTGGCACATTTTGCCAATCCCCTTTATCCATTATTTCATAAAACCCTCACAATAACTTTATGAAATATATACTGCCACTGTCTGTATCTTACAGAAAATGAAGCTCAGGGACTCATTAAAACTTGTTTGTGATAACACAGTTAACAAATGGAGTGATGGAATTAGGCCCATTTGTTTCTAGAGCTAGTTCTCTAGACCACTACAATGTTCTGTTTCCTAGGACAGTGGTGAGAAGAGCTCCTGTGATCTGTACTGGGACAAATCTGGGTTTCTTTTTTGAGTCATGGTCTGTGAGGAAGTTCTGGGGGATTTTAAGGTTGTAGCTCACCCAACCCTTGTCATCTTCTTTGGCACTGGGTAGCCTTTCCTTACTTTGGAGGCTAAGATAGAGTCTTTAATTGTATGTTTTTGGATTTAGCAGGCAAAGAAAGCTTTGTGCAAGTTCTAAGCATCCTTGCTATGTCCAGCCATACTCTTTGGACATCTACCCTGGATTTAGGGTGTAGAGCTTATGCATTTTCTGTGGTTTGCTTTTTCCGGGAAGATCTAAGGGGTTGGTGAGATGATCAGGGTTGGGACTGAGGTGTTCTTAGGTTCCCTGGGAAAATGCAATCAAGTTGTCTTCCCTTAGTTGTTCCTTATTATATCTTGGAGAATTTGCGTTTTAAATGAGCTCTATGGGACTGAAGACAGAGGAAGAGACTGGCCTGCATAAAGGTACCTGGGTGGGAAGCAAGGGGTGAAAATATGCAGCATGGAGTATGTGAGGAGAGCCTGGGGTAGGGGGATGGAGAAGTTAGGCTGGAAGTTAGGTGGAAATACTGAATGCCAGGACAGAAGGCTCCCCTCTCCACAGAGTTTCCCAACAGGGAGTGAATGTCTAGAGATGTCTTCTTTGAGGGTGACCTTGAAGGTGTGTATAGGACTGGTAGTCCAAGACAGGGAGAGGCTTGGGAGCAAGCTACATGATGATCAAGTTTAGGAGCAATTGTCTGTTGAAAAGTGGGCTTATTAGGGAACATTCTTTTTTTTTTTTTTTCAATTTGACAGGTAGAGTTAGACAGAGAGAGAGACAGAGAGAAAGGTCTGGGAACATTCTAGTAGGTAAGCTGTACCATTGGATTTTGTTATTCTGATTAAGCTAAGATAGCAGAGGAGGCTAGCATCCCAATGCTGGTACATTGCCTGGTGAGTGTACATCTACCCCTTTCTTGGTCTAAATTCCATTTTCCCTTAATTTTTGCCTCTTATCAAAATACTTTTAAAAATTCCCCTTCAACTAAATTCTTATCTATTCCATAGGTTTACTCACTGAGTAATTTTTTCTGTTTCTATTCTTTGTTGAAATCAAAGATTTTCTCAAGGTCACAGGCTATTCCTCAGTTTCTTTGCTTTCTCATTATGCTTTGCTCATGGGATTGTTCACATGATTAACATCTATAAATGCTTTCTTTCTGATAAAATATGTGAAGCCTTGAAGGCAGTTTAATCTAAACTCCTTTTAGAGACATGAATCAGTATCCTTGTCAAGACTTATTCATTCTTTACTTGTATATCTTAAAACAAAGGGAGTTTGGTATTTATTGGAAAAGTCCATCCAATCTTTAGAAAGCTTGTAAAAAGAGTGGACTTCTCAAATTATGTCAATATTTATTCTATATCACTTAATAATCATTAGTTCTTATTGTGTATACTTTGAAGCCCATAGAGTTGGTCTGTTTTCTTTCCCACCTGGAAAGCATTTATATTTTCACAGATACCTACTAAATTATCCATAATCCTTCTCTTTTCTCAGTGCCTTCAGCTTTATTTGATGTGGTTTGTGGCCATCCAACTAGTATGTCTACCTTTTTCTGTGCATGATCCTCTTTGCCAATGTATATCTTTCAATGTAGATGTTGAAAAAAACTCAATTAACAGAGCATGGTAAGATCAGAATAGGGCAGAGAGAAGACATTTCTTCCCTATTTTGAAGTTGACCCAACTTCAGGGTGATTAAGCTTTATAGCAATCACTCCTGCCTCGGTCCTGATTGTCCGTCCAGACCCCTAACCTTTAATCTTGTTGATCCATCTTTGGCTGACACAGTTGTTTTATAGGATTTTATATTTGCCCTAATACGCACTCAGTCTTCCTTTCATGTCTGTCTCATTCCTTGTCTTCTTCCTCATAATAGCTTTTTGCTTCATGTCTTGAGCTTCTCTGAACTGCCTGTCACTCCCCACCCTTTGTAGCAAAGTGACTCTCAGGAAACCCAGTTATATCACCAAACAGGTTAGGAAAAAGGCCAGGGGAGACGATGCCACCTTCATCCGCTTGGACTCGCTACGGGATTTGTAGCAGAACTCGATTAAGGCAACCAGCATGGCTAGTCCAAGTCCTCCAATCAGGATGTAGAACACGCCTGCCACATTGCTGAGGCTGAGGGCACTTGTCTTGTCCTAGGAATAGGAGAAGGGAAAGGAGGGGGAGGTGGAGAGAGCAAAGTGAGTCAATGAGGCCAAACACTATCCAAGCAACAATGTATTTACACACATACACTCAACCCCTCACCCTCTTTACCATTCTTGATAATTTGGAAGGATTTTTATTTTACTACCTGAATGTTAAACATTCCCAAGGGGGAACAAAAAAAGTATGTGTGTTTTCTAAGCATCCCTGGTTATGTTGAATTTATAATGATATTTTTCCCCTCATCAATACTATTTCTAGGGTAGGAGAAATTCAAATTCAGAGAAGCTTCTACTAAAACCTGCATCTTTGAGCATTTCCTTTTCTTTCAGAAAACTGTGTGCCTTTTTCAGCTCTGTGTCTGCCCCCATCCCTTCCATTGCTTAGCCACACATGATCTCACTCATTATTTTTGTCTCTCAGTATTTTCTGAGAAGTGCTTAAAATGAACTTGCCCCTAGATATGCATTTGATTTTAATTTAATAAGACAGTTATTGTACACACAATAAAGAGCAACTGATATATAACTGTAACATAACACTCTGAGTCCCAGTTTTGGGGCTGGGGAACTAGGGGGCTTACAGAAGTAAGAAGTCATTGAGATAGAAAAATGACTCTGTTAAATCTTACTAATTATGTTTAATTGGTATTATTTTTCTTTTGGAGATGCCTTCTAAATACCATGGGAAGATGCAAATAGCTAAATTTAGAAATCTCTGTTGCTGCAGTAAAGGATCTTGTATTGGCATTAGATGAGCTGGGTGAAGGAAGAGTGTGCTTAATTCTTAGAATTCTGGGGAAAACTATACACGTGCAGTAGTAGGTGGAAAGGGCTCACTTTATGGAGTCTGAGGAAGGCCATTGGTCTGGTGAAACCTTGGGTTCAAATGAGTGAGTGAGGGACAACTCTTTCTCACATGGTGAGACCTACCAAGCAAACTGATCATCCTGGTAGGTGGTAATGGCTCAGGAAGAGGTGGCACTGTTCGATTAAAGTCTTAACAGAGGCACACTAGCATCTTTAAATCTTGGGAGAATATGCAACCCCAGATGTCATGGTTGTCTTAATACCTTTGTTTATATTGTCTGTTCAAGTACAACAAGTGTCTCATTGCATTAAAATGAAATGCATGCCTCAGCTGACATAGGTACATGCCATCATTGGCTTATTGGTGGCACTGGATAAGATGTAGCTTTTACATTTTCCGTGTGTCCCGTTCAGGTGGGATATAGGTGAGCCACACAAAGGGTAGACTCTGTGCCCCTAGAGACTCTCTGACATCTGCCTATTAGAATCTGGACATGTAGAAAGGAATCTCTTATTGACCAAGTCATTGACATTTGCCCTAGTTCTACTTGGTGCATTGTACAGGATTCAGCAAGGCTGAGCTTAGGGACTGCAGCTGGCAAATCGCAGCATGCTTTCCCTCCCCAGAAGCAGCCTTGGCCAGCATAGCCGTAGGATTATCTAAAGCACACTCCCTTGGTGGCTTTCTGAATTGCTAAAGCAGATGGCTCTTGAATATAGGTTATACTTGGCAAGACAGAGTCTGGGTTTGGAAGCAGTGGAAATGATTTATTCAAAGAGGCAAATCTTTCCTGCTCTGGTACAATGGCCTGATAAGGGAAATGTGCAAAAAATGAATTCAGTTTGATTCAAGAGTAGGCTGAACAAATAAATTCCCACTTTACATGATTTCCAGATCACACTAAATGTCTCCCTCTTTGTTGTTTAGAAGGTATATTATTCTTTCTCTGGGGAATAATTCTTTAGAGTCCTTGGACTATTTATGGTTAATAAAATTTCCTATAAAACTCCCCTGTTTGGACAGAGTAGAGTGGAATGGAGGGTATATCTTAATGTGTTATCAGCTCACACCTTAGCAAAGAGTGGTTAACAGTGATGCTTAGAGGGTGTTGATATGAACCAGGATCCAGGTAAGGTGGACAAGAAGACTGGAGGCTGCTAACTTCACCGGCTGATAGCTGAAGTGCCCCATGACACCTTGGTGACGAGGGCTGTTTTCTTTATGGTCTTTCTCATGTTGACTTTGGTTGTGTAAGACCTTCAAGGGCAAGGGTGTGGTGGGCAACTTTTGTTCTGTTGCCATATTCAAAAGACCCTAAGAAGGCATTTGCTTCCCTGGCTGTAGAAAGTGAAGTGTCTGTTCCTGGTATATCTGGAGAAAAAGCTCTTTGTATGGGAATAGAGATGAGGAGTATATTCTATATAACTGTGGAAAGAGGAGGATTCAGTGATGGAATGTCTGATTATGTCTGAGATAGAGAGCATACCATGCTTCTGAAGGGAGTCTCTAGTAGGGATTTAGTGTGTGTGTGTGTGTGTGTGTGTGTATGTGTGTGTGTGAATACTCCCTACACAAACAAGAAAGACAGCTAGATGGTATGGAAACTGCCATCTCCTGCCGGACACATGGTGTGACTGATCTTTAATTTTGCTGACACAATTCTGTAGTAGCAGAGATCAGGGAAGACCTCTGGAAATGAGAGGGAACCTGGGTCCTCTGCCACCAATGTCTGCTGTAACACAACCATCTAAATTTGGCTTTGGTAACAGTGTGGAATAAAAGGCTAATGTTGTAGCCTTAGTCCAGATAAAGGAGAAGATTACAATTAGATAAGGTTGTAGGATTGCTATTAGTGTGCCATTTAGATTTTTGATAGCATCAAGTTTATATCTTTCTAAGGAGGTCTGAGGCCATGGCTTTTTGTATAGTTGTTTCTGGCTTTCTTTGACTCAATTTTCTGGAATATAATGCGGCATCCTGGGGCAGGGGAATAATTCACTTTTATTTAGAGACCAGTGTTCTGATTCCTCCTCTGGCCTCAGGTGACTTTTGTACAAACAGCTGGGATTATTCTTCCTAGCCCAGCTCCAAGCTTCTCAGTTTTCAGGAAAAGGGAAGAGATGGAGTTTGAATCTTCTGAGCACCCTTCTGGGTACCCCATTCTCCTCCCATCCCATAGCAGCTGTGCTCCCCAAAAGCCAGGCAGCTTGTTAGTGGGAGTGAAAAAGTCACAACTCATCTCCCACCAGGAGAGGAGAAAGAGTGATGGTACTCAGAAGAGTGACAGGTGAAAAGAAAAAATAAAATTCCCAGCTTTCAGAATCGTTGGGTTTGTTGCTATGGTGAAAAGGCCCCCTTCATCTGTTCTCCTCAACCTGTTATCTTGATTTGCTGCCTCCCTCATGTGGAAGGAGATACCCCCCCATATTTCTTCTTGCTATTCCCACATATTTGGGGGTCTTTCCCAGATTATCTCTGTGTTTCTGAGCCAACATTATTTTCAAGAATGTTCAGCTTCCACGATTTGGCTGGTTCCAATCTTCTGAGGAGAGTTGAGCCAGATCCGAAGCAGAGAATCTTGAAGGTTTCTTTATACCAGAAATAGAAAGCTCTAGGGCCTTTGGCCATAAGAAATGTCCCTCCCACTGAGAGTGGTGCTGCCTATCACCTAAGGCCTGCTAAATCTGGACCAAGCTTCCATGTTTCCAAAGCTTCCATTATTTATAACCTTCTTGGTGAGAGTGTGAGCCTCATAAAACAAGGGATGCAGTGTTTGTTCCTTATTACATGCCAGTGGAATTCCACAAATTTTCTGATACATTTTCAGCTGGATTTTCTGGGACTGTCTGCAAATCTTCCACCTGTGGAATCTGTCACTGGGCTTTGCCCTTTAGGGCTACACAGAAAAGTCAAATGCATCTTCCACCTCTTAGCCTTTCTGCTACAGCAGACTTTCTTGTGTGCTTTTCTAAATCATGAGTTTTCAGCATAAGAAATATTTTGTTTCAAGATTGAGTATTTCCTTATAGTGGAAGCTGAATGGCTGGCTAGGCTCACTCACTAGCAGGGACCAAATTGGGAAAGCTATGGGGAGATGGATTTAATTCAGCTCATGGAAGACCTTTCAAATAAATAGACCTGTGCAGAAGTGAATTGCATTGCAGTAGGTAGGAGCTAGCTTCTCAATGTGAATGCATTCAGGAAGAAGCTGAGAAGGTCATCTAAAGGAGTTGAGTACTGGACACAAAGTTGGAATAAGTAACTTTAGATACTTGTCCTACCCCAAGAGATCTGGAGCATCTAAGAAGTTCCTAGAGGGCCTGGGATCATGCCTTTAATAAATTCTCTCTTGAGACTAAACCGTTTAGAGGATACAAAAAAGGAACTTGTGTTAATTGGCAACTTCTGCTGTTCCACTTCCAATCTAGGCCAGTTCCCTAGCCTGCATATTTTCCCGAAGAGCAGCACAGGATGAGAGTTGGCCCATTGTACTAATAATTGGCAAGGCAAATCCTGTGCAAGTGATGGTGTGGGGGTGGCTCTTCTCAGCAGTGTGTGCTCAGGGACCGGCTGCTGTACAATGCACCACAGAACATCCTGACTCAAAACAACATCACAGCAGAGAACTCAAGGAGATGATGTGGGTCATAGGGGGAAACCCATGTGCTAGCCGAGACCGAGGCCTTTTCCAAAGTGGAAGAAATTTTCCAGAAACAGAAGCACCAGTCTGAGGGTTATGTGAGTGTCCTCATGGGGAACCTTCCCTGTGAGTTGAGTGTCTGCTTGGACTATCCATTGGAGAGCAAGGGACCTGTGTATCAGGAAAATCAAGATTGCTATCTCCAGAGGTACTTCTGGCTCATGGCCTGGGAGTACAAGTATTAACAAGGAAGAAATCTTTGTTTCTATCTAGTCCTGTCTCCCAGACCAGTGATTGGAGATATAGCAGGTGTGGCTTAGGGGCTTTGTGTAAGATCCAGTGTATTTCAGTATTCAGTCTCTTATTGGGTAACTACCATGTATTGGACATCTTATCTTGAATCACATATAACTCTGGAAATTCACCTTGAAGTCATGGGTTCTTTCTAGGCTGTGGCCTGCTCTGCCTTACAGGGATCAAGAACTCTGACTCTGAGCTGAATTCTAGCTGGAGCCAGAAGCCTCTG